GTAAATTCATTAATTTTTTTAAGGCCAACATCAACAGCAGGTAGTATTTTCTTTTCCCGGCTCGTTAATATGAAGAAACTTTTTTGTTTAGGTAGGTTTTCCTTTTTTTTTTATTTTTTCGCAATCAAATATATATATAAGGATAAATGCCCCTTGAAAGTTCACAATATTTGTAAGGCTGGCCGGTTCCAGAATTTAAGAAACCGTGAGATATTTTTAAAAATAAAATGAGTAAACGTACGCGAGAATTTGAGTGTACCAACGATCTGGATATGTTCTGTTACATATGCGGTGAATATACTCTTGTACGGCATCGGAGGCAGTTTAGAGATTCGATCCAATCTACATATTCAAAATATTTTGGTATTGAGCCTAAAAATATTGATAAACCATGTACTCCGAATATTTTGTGTTCCTTTTGTCGAATAATATTGCTTCAATGATCATCAGGATCAACAAAGTACGTATTAAAATTATGAAACTATGCTTCTTTTTACTTAATAGTAATTTTTAATTTTTTTCTTTTTCAGGCGATACATGAAATTTAATGTACCAATGATATGGCAAGAACCTACATGCCACTCAGAAGATTGTTATATTTGTATGACAAAAGCATTTGGCTTTGGAAAATCAAGAAAAGTGATTTATGCTAACGTACCTACCGTTTCATTGCCAGTTCCACATTCAGCTGAAGTTGCGTTTCCAGTTTCGTTGTCAACAGCAGTATCTGAAAGATCATCTGAATATGGGAAATCAAGTTGTAATGAATTTTTAATGGAAAACGAGAGAAACGTTCTATCACAARCGCAACTAAACGATTGGATTAGAGATTTGGAATTATCCAAGGAAAAAGCTGAGCTACATGCCTCTCGTATGCAAAAATTTCAATTCGTGTCACCCCACGTTAAGGTGACATATTATAGAAATCGYCACGAACCATTTGCCAAACACTATACGAAGGAAGACAACGTATGCTATTGCAAAAACATTCCAGGATTATTCAAAGAGTTTGGTCAACCATATGATTCCGAGGAGAGGCGATTGTTCATAGACAGCTATAAACTGAGCTTGAAGGCCGTATTACTGCATAATGGCAACAAAAAGCCCTCGATCCGGATCGCGCATGCAGTAAACACGAAGGAAACATACGAGGTAATGAGAAAGTGTTAAAATTCATCAAATATGAAGAGCATGATTGGAAAATATGTGCCGATCTTAAAGTCGTTGGAATGTTATGAGGTCTATAAAAAGGCTACACAAAACACTGCTGCTTTCTCTGCACATGGGATAGCCGAGCTCGTAAAGACCAGTATTGAATTGAGGATTGGCCGGAAAGAGTTGAATTTACAATTGGTGTGGATAATATCAAATACGTCCCACTTGTAAAGAAGGAAAAAATCATTCTTCCGCCATTGCACATCAAGCT